AGCAGTTTTGTGAATAATAAGCAAATATTTTGCATAAATCAATTTGATTTATCTAAAAAGAAGCAGAAAGTTTTGCATAATTGATGCAAGATCATTTAACGATTCAATTTTTGAATTAAAAGACGCAAACAATTTTAACGGTCGAAATTTGAGTAATTTGATGTGAAAAATTGATGCGAAAGCTACAACAATATCCATAAAATCTTTAGAATTTAAGCTCTCGAAATCCATAATCTTCAGGATTTAAACTTTGAAAATTTCCCTAAAATCATTAATATCTACCAGTATATACATTAAAATTTACAAATGTTGGTAATTTATCATATAGAATTATAGTTACTAGTTTTACCAATTAATCATAAAGATTTCTTCAATTTTTCTTCCCTGATTTTGTTGCTAGTTTTGCCAGCATAAAGAAAATTTTTCATTCTTTTTGTCTTAAATCCTACTCACTTATTCCAATTACAACCCTTTTTTCCCTCTATTGAATTAAGAAATACTCACAAAAAGGAATGAAAATGAAGAAGGGAATAAAACTACAAAAAAATAAGTTGAAGAGATAAAATAAAGTTTTATGTCAAGTTGATATTTTTGGATTTCCATCTCTCATTTTCTCACACTCACCCTTATCTTCCTCATCCTTCTTTTAAGATTATTGAGAATGCTTCGTCTCTCAAGCCATAATTTTTACTTCCTCTTTCCCATTCCACCCAACCATACCCAAGCATACACACAGCATGAGAGATGAAAAACTACTATAGTCGTAATGTATATACCACTTCAATTTTAGAATAGCTTCTACACTTATTCGTGTTGTCCCTCTTTTCATACATTCGCATTTAAATTGAATTTATGGATAGAAGAAAAAGAAGGATAAAAATGGACATATAACAGAAGCGAGTGAGTGAGGGAGACATAAAACTTTGCTTTTGTTTGATACCCGAAAATAGGCCTTCAAAAAAAAAAATAAAGTCCCATTCAATTGTTGTTCAGCAAGACATCATCAGTAAAAAAAAATATTTTTTTCACACTGACAAAGATTTTTATCAAAAAGGCAATAAAATAAACAATTTTTGCCACCCCATAACTTAGTTCTGAGCTCTCTATTCACATCTACACGCAAATGTACAGAACAAAAAAAAATTCAGTACAGCACTAATAGGTCATTTGCTGATGATGTCTGTGAGAAATTTAATTATAAAACTTTTGTGACTTGAAAGCTGTCTATGAAATGTTGCATGCCCTCCCTCTTATTTTGCTGGACGTCACAGCCAAAGGACCCCTAAAAAGTATTTCTTTTTTTGTTCCAATTTTATAGAAAATGAAGAAGAATAAAAAATTGTGGAGCTTGAGATGAGAAATATCCTCTTCTTTTTTTGTTGTTTGTATCATTTTGATTTTCACCCCGTTTGGTTATTTTTATTATTGTTGAGGAAGCTCTCATAGCATATATAAAAGTTTACGACATACATACATATTATATATATTTTTTTTTTGTTGAAATTGTGTGTGCAGAATCATATGGAGCATGAGGATGGTGATAATTTACTTGCAAATAGGATTGAAAATATTCTATAGCTATGTGGGTGTAAGGCATATCTATCCATAACCAATTCATTCCTTCACCCCATCCTTGGCATACATAAACAAGCAATTTAAAACACTTGAAACTTTTCGACTTGAAACAATGGACATGATGGAGAGAAAATTGGGTTTCTTTTCCTAACTCGACCACCCATCGATCCTCAAACTCTTGCAACTAAGAAACTACCTAGCTCCTTATTTTCTTTCCTTTTACTATGTCGTGTACGTATATGTGTATATATATATTGAATCTAATATGTAAGCATAAAAAAGGGTTCCTCAATTCTCAATCCATCCATCTATACACACTTTCATTTGATTCCATACTCAAAAAGTTCCGAATATACATATATTTAGCAAATAAGAATAGAATACAGAAGGAGGAGATATAGAGGAAAAATTGAAAATCTACATCCCATTTTATATCTCCTACTACTTAATTTTCTTCTTTACTTTCCTTAAAAATGAAGAAGAATAGAATAAAAAAAAATTTTTAGATCCAATTGGATTTTATGCCTAAGCGTGTGTGTATTTGAAAGTTTTCCTTAGTTTTCATTTTGGACATGAGATAAAAAAAAATTCATTTTCATATCATTTATCCGAATATCAAATTGAGGAATAAGGAAAACCACTAATGGGATGGATATGCTTTTTATTATTGGGAGAATGTTTGGAATTGAGCAATTTTTGCAAAAGTTTTTTGTCATATTTTGAGAAATGTGAATTTTGAAATTTATAACGGCTTTTTGGAATTTAAAAGTCCTTAGACTGCAAATTTAGTTGAGTTAACGGATTTTAATTGTTATCAGTGTTGCAAATGTAGATGTCTACACTAGATGAAGAATGTAGATTCTTCAATAGTTTTTGTCTAGCTAAGAAACTTTCTTCGTAAAGATCGATTCTACATGTAGAAAGAAAAAAACCATCTACATGTAGATTGTGTCTACATGTAGAATCTGTCTACATGTAGATTCGATGTAGATGTCTATAATTCTACATTTTTTCCAGGTCTACATCAGAGAAGAATGTAGAATCGTAGACATCTACATTAAATCTACATGTAGACAGATTCTACATGTAGACACAATCTACATGTAGATGGTTTTTTTCTTTCTACATGTAGAATCGATTTTATGAAGAAATTTCTGTCTCAGAATTTATCTGATCCAGACAAATAGCCATAATGCAACACTGATTGTTATTGAACAATTTGAGCTCTATCACATCCTAAACTAGATATAAAACTCCAAATTAGATCCTGTCAGTTGATATATTCATCCCATTTTAAATAATAATAACACACCAAAAAATCTGAAAACGGTCAGTAAAGTGAGCAATCTCCTAAATGACATGACATAATGACTTGTTCAATGGGAACAAGAATCAGTCGTGAAACACATGATTGAATTTTTCAACTGTAAAGTTCATATTATTATATGTACGATACATGATGAATAGGCAATAGTCGTCGTCCCAAAGAAGTTTAAGCTCCGGTCATAAACACATAAATATCTCTCCCGTAAGTCCAACATAAACGACAAAAATGAAGAATTCGTTTCCTATCTAAAGAAAAAGAATAAGAAATAGAGAAATAGCACTTTTTCATCTGTACATGTGTGTGAAGCAGTTCACATGAAATGTAATGGAAAAACATTCATGTGCCTTTTTATGTGTACATGGCATAAAGCATAAGAAACTTTTTTTTTCTTTTCCAATTCTCTCATTTCTCTTCATGCCATGCCTTTACTTCTTCTTTTCTAAAGTTTTTCCCAAGCATTTTGCAGGCCAAATGAAAAAGGACCCTTTTTCGTTTCGGAAAAATAAGACGATGCCAATGGAAAGGAAACAAAAAATACCCCCAAATGGTATATGAAATATACACATATAGTCAGTGAGAGTTTAAAGATGTATACTTTGTTATTTTATTTTTTTTTTTTTCTTCTCGTTTTATCCATCTGCCCTCCACAAAACCTCATCTCCTCATGTAAGGCTCTCCTTTTCGTTTCTGTCGGAACATACATGAATTTCAAATAAAAGCGATATCAGTTTGTTATATTGTATACGATGTGTGATACATAAATATATTTAATATCATTTCAACAAACTGTAAACTTATATGTACATACATGCCTTTTTATTTTCTCTTCCTTATTCTTTTGTTTTTTTTTCCACAATTCTCATAGTCGATATACTTCTATAATGTATATACACAAAGTGTATGTAGAAGTATAGTGAGTGAGGTATATGGACAAACGAAGGTCACATAGATAAATTTAATTTACAAACAGAATGAAGAATTTATACTTTTTTTTCTGGTGTGAATTATTTATTGGCTGGACATGCAAAGTTGAATGACTATTGAATTTTTTAACAGTTACTTTGATTTTGCAATCTTTAGAAATTGTCAATTGAGGTGTTAGGGAGAAATTGGAATTAAATTAGCTAGTTCTGGAGATTTTTTGAGGTTATTTAAAATTTTTGAGGTTAATTTTTTAATTTTTGAGGATTTGGAATGTTTTTTAAATTCAGTGAATTTTGAGCCTTTTTTCAATAGAATCTGAAGCTAATATTATTATTATTCGAGACCTGCTTCCAGCTTTCATAAACATGACAATTCACAAAATGAAGTTAACTAGAACAAAATTCCAAAGCACCATAAACCTGACCAAAAGCGATTAAAATTCAATTTCAAAAATTGAAAACCATCCAATTAATTTTCCCAGTCAAATTCCAACAGTCTCCAGCCACAAAATCCATCAAAATATGTTCAATTTAAACAAATTTCTTTCGAAGCAGAAAATTGACAAATCTAGAATAGTAAATTTAATCTATGCCTCAAAAATTGGACGGAATGGAGTAAAGAAAATAAAAGAAAAGGCGAAAAGCACACACATAGTCGAATAAAGGATATGAGGATAAATAGAATAATTTTACGACTTGACCAATTTTTTTTTCTCCCCAATTTTCATTCGCATATAGATTGTTCACATGTTTGTTAAATTTGCCGCCCTCAGCTTACGCTTCTTTTCACTTTTCCTGTTCTCAATGTTCATATTCAGCATAAACAGCCTTATAAAATGTCTTGAAATATAGTTTCGTTCGGTGGGTTAAAAAAATGGTAAGGGGAACGAAAAGGTAGTTGAAAAAAAAGAGCTATTTCATCCCAACATACTTGGATATACTGAAATGCATACTATTACTTTATATCTCTTAGGTTATTGCGTAGAACGGAAAAATGAAATGTTCTTTTCTGACATTATTGAATTTGTTAATAAAAAATATTTCATTTTACATTCTTTATACTTTTTGTGTCGGGCGAGAATGTTTCACATTTTGCTATTATTTTTTTTTTCTATTCATTTGTAAGGAAAATTGAAATGTACGAAGCGAAATTAAATTGAATAAAAAAAACTCACCAAAGTTGTCACTCATGCTAGATGGTCCGGGAAGTAAGCCAGGAAGATTTTGAAGTCCCAAAAATGAGTTCGGGAAGGTTGGTGTTCTTGAGTGATCGAGTGAACCATTTAATCCGTCATGTACATCGCCAGCATCAGAAGCAACTGTATCGCTACTGTTTGAATCCTCACCGGTACTTTGCGCTTGAAGTGATTGCAAATCCGGATGCTTTATTTATGAAAAAGGAGAATAAGTTTTCGTATTCAATAAAAATTGTACCCAAATGTGTTGTTATAAGCTTTCATCATGGGAAATAAAAAAAAAAGTATAAAGTTGCTTCATACCTGTGTTGGTATTGTTAACGTCGGTCCACCTTCTAATGCCTGACTCAACAAAGATTCTTTCATTTCTACACTTCTATCACGTGACTGTGATTCTTTCGATTTATCACGATCACGTCTCAATGCATGCTGCTGTAAGCTCGATGCCAAATGATCGCGAACAACCATTTGTTCATCCGTAAGTCCATGCTGTTTCTTGTAAAGCTCGGCTGATTTTATTCGTTTCTGTGGTGGTGGTGTTGGTTGAGATGAATCATCTGTAATCATATCCCATGGAATTGATGTTGAGCTTTGATTTTGCTTTATATTCACAATTTAATTTTATTTAAGAAATTTAAACGTGATTAGCAAGAAAAAAGAAAGAAAAAAGGGTTTCGGTTAGTATGGGACATATTACGACATTAACCTATGTGACTAACTGGAGAGTTTTTCATCTCTTTGCTCAGCGACGTCAATGCTGGAAGAATTGATGATGAATTAAGGGAAGCATTATGTGAAAGATTGCTTTTATGGAGTGAGTGGTGATTATTGGTAACTTCAGCAAGTCCTCGAATCTGCAATAAATGTGCTGTCTTAAGGAAGTCACTAAGTTGCTCTTGTCCGATGTGAACTTCGCCATTATACATAAATCTGTAGGAGAGAAATTGAAAATTATTATGAATTGTTAGATTTTAAGCATATGCTTATGTTTGTTCGAGAATCATTAAGCTTAATGAGTCATAATATGGAACTAGATCAGTTAAAGTTGAATATCTACAAACCGAGATGACAGAATTTTGACTGTCAAAATATTCAAATTAAAACTGACAGTTACAAAGTAATTCAGAACATATTAAAGCCTTTTGTCCAACCTAGTTCCAAAAATACTCGAATTCTATAATAAATTAACTTATCATGAGTTAACTCATTAGCAATATTAAATCAAAACATTTCTCTATAAACAAACGAACAGAAATCCTCAGTATATATACACACATTTTTTTTATAATCAATAACTGACTACAACAAAGTGCCATACAGAGAATAGCATAGAAAAATGAATATTCTTCCTTTTTCGCTATTATTATTTTTTTTTTCACATACAATGGAATTTTTTGATCTTTATTTTTACTTTACTAAATGTAATAGAAGCTAAAATAGCCACATTTATATTCTCATTTTTTTTTTGTTGTGTGCTGTTTGTGAGCTGTTGTTGCCACAAATAATCTGACTTCTATTAATTCATTTAATGTCCATTTTCATTAATACACACCTTAACAAATTTTCCACGTCTTCGGAACGAATGTCTCGAAGAATAACGATTGGATGTTCGCAAGGATTGGCCTTTAGTAATTTACGAAAATATGGACTGCATGCGCTCAATACCACCTTTATGAAGAGAAAAAAAAAGAAACAAAAAAAAATAGAATAACATTTTTATTATTCGATATTATTTCATTCATTCATTCATGCTTTTTTTATGTTTTATTCTGCACGTCCTTTATTACAATGGAAATGAAAGATTATTTCATGAGCAAAAACAAAAAAAAAAGTATTGAGCAGGAGGAATGAAAAATGAATTAATTAAGAAATATTCGTTGTTCGACAACTCGGACAACGGTTACAAAAATGTTTGCGTGTTATAGGTTTAAAAGTTTCATTACCTTATGAGCAGTAAATGATCGCTGATCACACGCCAATGTTACATCCACAAAATCCTCTTCATCGCGTAAATGCCGAAACGATGACAATATTGATGATTGAAAATCATTCCATTTTAGAGCATATTGCTGATCGGATGGCGTCGGTGATGATATATCCATCCTGAGGTCAATGTTGCTGTGCTGGAAAGAGAATTTGAATTATTAGACATTTTGTTTACCGAGATGATCAATTTTTTTCAAATTTAAAATGACAGTTGAGAATTTTCAAATTTCAAACGACAGTCAATAGGAAAAAATCAAACTTTTACTTCTAGAAAATTGAAAAAAAAAATTCATTCCACGACCGTCCGCAAAAACCACGTGAATGACATAATTGATCGTTTTATTTTTAGCACCGCATGTTCAGACAGAAAGTCTCCCATTCAAGTCGCATTTCCCGTATATCAAAGAACAGTATTTTTTTCTTCTTTATTTTAAATTCATAATAAATTAATATTGGTGTGTATGTCATTGAGTGACTTCTTTATGTCTCAATATTGTCATCATCGAAATCGTTATAAAGGCATTCAAGTTTGACTTGAATCAATGAGAATAACATAAATATATATCTTCATGAAATCATCAAATTGTCATGCTTCTGCTTCTACCGTTGCTGTTGTTTGTTGTCATATTGTCACAGAATGAGTAAAACGGTAGAAGATACTCGGTTTTTATGATCTCAAAAATTGATACTAGAGCACATTATCTGTGATACATTTTATGGATGCATTCATTCATAACATATACAAAAAATGTTGCCTTAAAAACAATCAAGGCTCTCCTTTTTCTCTGCCATAATGTCTATCCGACAATGTTGTAGGCATGCAGACACAATGACAATACGACGATGACAATAATAATTCAGTATATGTGCGTGTTTGTGACATACGTCGTCGTTATCGTTGCGATTTTGCCTTCTTTTTTTATATGATTCTCATTCCGTATGTATTTTAATACTGCGAATGTATACGGCATTTAATTAAAATGCATCATCGTCGTATGTATAGGCAGAGAAGTGAGCAAGCAACAGAGAATATTCTGCATTGATATGTCATTCGTGTGCTTTTGACTCAATTCTTTCTTTTTTTGCATTGTGTATTATGTATTCATTCTTTCTTTCCCTTTTTTGTAATTTCGCGGGCTGCACCATATGACTAAATAAAAATGAATGAATGTGTGAACATACATCCGAGGATGGAAAGTGAAAAAAAAGTTTTTGATGCTAAAAATAAAATAATAACTTTTTTCCAACGTGAACAAAGAATTATCAGTTAAGGTTGTGTGTCTTTTTTTTTGGGGGGGGGAGTATTTATACATCGAACATGCGGTGATGTCATGATCAAATTGAAATTTTGTAAGAAAAAGAATAAAATTTGGTCGATTTTGGTGATATTAGGCTTAATTATCGAAGTTTATGAAATTTTTGGGGTTTATTCATAAATGATGTACATCAAATTTGAAGCTCTTACTTCTTTGTTTTGGTCACACAGCTCATGAAACCCACTCTTAAGACAGTCATAAGTAAATTAATTATTTAATCTTTATTAAGTTGTATATTGGGAATCATAGTGAGAAAAGTAACATAAGGTTCAATCCAAAATCATGCCTGATCTTCAAGTTCATCCACCAAATTAAGAATAAAACTCTATCCACTAAATTCCTTTATCAAAAAAATTCTGTTTTGTTTCTATTTCTTGCAAGTCTCTACTTTATTGCCTCTTCTTCCACATGTGCAGATGTCATTCTAATAATTTTATGTATGTCGCGGAAAAAATACCATTTCCGGGGGCCGCGTGTACAAATTATTTTTATGACTTTCTGTGTCTCTCATTTCTGCTCAATAAAGTAACAAAAAATGCCTTTTTGGTACTTCTGTTTTAAATATTAAAAAGGCCAAACATTTCATGTAATAATATTAAGAGGCTTTAATTAAACACAATAGAAGTCCAGTTTTTCTTACCGTCTATCTACGTACATGTACATTCAATATACATGTTTTGTTTTCGAATATAAAACTTCATTTGAATGACAAGTCGCTAATAAAAAGCATTACTTAAGCCTCTAACTATTTTTCAAGTAACTTTTCATTTATTTCGTACACATTGTCTTACATAGACCCCGTCTCTTGCTTTGTCATTCCAACAAATGTCTTTAAATTGTATATTTTTTTTCTGAACAATTAAAAAAGCTCAGACGTGATCCCACAGCATTGGGCATTTCTTCTTCTTTTTATTTGTGTCTTCTATTTTTTGCGATTTTTTTTTTGTGTTTATGTTAATCAAAAGTTGTTAAATTAGTCAATTTCTTGAAGTAAAAAAAAAAATAGCAATTAAAATGTCTTTTGTGAGGCGAGTACTTCAATGTAAGCCCAGACAATTCAAGAAAAATATGCAATGGCAGTGAATGCTTGCTAAGCATTGCTTAGTGACCTATTAAATGATAATTAAATTAAGCAAATGTGCTAAAAATGTTAATTTGTGTCTCTTGATTGCTTTGTCCTTTCGCGTCAATGATGCGGGGATTTTTAGATAAGCAAATTATGAAATATTGTCACATTTGACAATTACGTGAAAGCTATTTTAAGTGTTTTTAAAATTGATGTGAATTTTTTGCGTCAATTGATAATGTTTGCATCTTTTGATGCAGAAATTTGTGCGTTTTGCTTCTTTTGACGCCTTTAAAAAAATCATTAAGAAATTTTTTGTCTAAATGATGCGAAAATTCAAAAACTATCCGTTATTAAATTTAGATTTTTTAAATTAAAGGCAATCAAATTAAAGTTTGTCTAAATGATGCGAAAATTCAAAAACTATCCGTTATTAAATTTAGATTTTTTAAATTAAAGGCAATCAAATTACTTTTTGAAATAATAATGCATCATTCAAATTTGTACTTCCATTAGCCTTTCTAAAAAGTCTCAAAAAAAATTAATCACATATACTTGATCAATTAATCAACATAAAACAAAAGCAAATCGATGAAAAATGACAAGCACTTGCCTATTCACTGGGCCTATTTTTATTTATTTGTTGTATATTTCGAATGAGCAAAGCGGACAAGCTTTGTAAGAGGCTATAAACCTATGAATCTAGTGGGACACTCATACAACAATTAACAATTACAATTGAAAGCCGTTAATTGAATTTTTGAATGCTGCTTATTAACACATTTAGTTGTCTTGAATTATAATTTTTTTTTTGTTTCTTATTTCGTTGTCTTCTCGCATACCAACTACGAATGAGAGGAAAAACAAAGAAGAAATATCTAAGAATAATAATAATAAAAATAATGCTTCCCTGTGACCATTTCGCGCGTATACTAAATAGTTTAATAGATTAATCACGAAGAAATTAACTCTAATGCCTCTATTACGGGCTACAAGTACCTACACATGCCACAGCGTTTTTTTAGACTCTATTATTTTAATATTTCTATTTTTCTTCATTTTCTTTTCGACTACTTTATTTCTTGGATTTTTTTGGTAATTCTTTTTGTTTGTGAGATAGGGATTCCAAAGCTTTCAGTTGATTATTCCCGGTACTAGGAATTAATTTTGTAAAATTTTATCTATTTTTGTATGAAAAACCGTTATATTTTAAATTTAAACTGTTATTTTGATAGATTTTGAATTTTCAAATATTCAAAATCCGTTAAATTTTTTCAATTTCCGCTAACCCGCTGCAGAAATTTCAAATTTCAGATTTTACATCTTTAATGGTTCAAATGGCAAACAGTGAGACTTTATAAGCAGTAAATCTCGAAACAATAAGTCAGGAACCTCTAAAATAAAAGATTTCATACCATTTACTTACTCATTCACATTACGTACACAAATATTTCTCTTAAGAACCCAAATGACAGTAACAGCGATAAAAAAAAGTGCGACGTTGTCGCAAACTGGTAATTAGTGTGTATATAACACACGAAGTCATATATGAAGTATAAATAAAGTAAGCGCTTTTGCATTTACCGGATAAGTGTTAAAATTTTAAAATTTATGTCAATTGATTTTCTAATTTTCGACTTTCAATTAACTCTGAAGTGAGTAAGAGATTATTTTTTTGGTTGGAGAGTTTTTTGTTGTATGCTTCCATGCAGGCAATTTACCTTTTTTTCTTGTGTAAAAAAAATTCTTCGATTTATCGACTTCATTTTTCAGGTACACGCAAAGTTTATAATACGAGATAAATTGCCATCAACATCGAATCTCCTTCCAATATTATATTTAAGTCAAAAGAATTTCTCGGAGGTCTCATAATAAATAATACTTTTTTTGTGTAGCACTTACAAATGAATGGATTTTTAGAATGAGACACAGTAACAATATGTAAGAACTCGTTTGCTGCTGTTGATGTCTCTTCCTTTTTTATATATTATTTTTATTGTCTTTATGGTGATTCGGGTACTTTTTCTTTTCTTTATATTAAAATAAATATTTTTTAATGTCTGGACCGATCGAAAGAATCCAAAAAAAACACGTTTTTTATTTCTTCTCTTACTGTGTTTAATTTAAAGCACACACATATTCTAATTCCGATTTCATTTGTTTCTTTTTTTTTTCTTTTGGACATAACAAAAAAAAATTATTCAAAATATTTTCAAGAAAAATGACCAAAGTAGTGTTCTGGGTATGTGGGGGGACTTAGCGCGGTTTTTAAGGAATTTTTCTGGCATTACTCATAGGCTAAGTATGTTACAATGTTGAAATTATTGTATCGTTACTTAATTCTGAGCTATGAAGACGTAATGAATCAGTTTAATAAGAAAAACTAGAATTGTGAAATTTTTAACCGTCACAAGAAATTCAAATGCAATCAACTTGAAGTTGGCTCCATATGAAAAAAAATTAAAATATAAATTACCGTTAAAGTTCTAATTTCATAAATTGATGATTTTAAGCAACAAGAAAGCACTTTACTGAGGATCAACAACAAATATATTTAAAACATTGTATTAAAAATCCAAAACTTAAATATATGCCGAAACCCATTCATAATACTGTCACATACTGTTGATAAAAGCTACCAAGATCTCAAAAGCACTTAAAAACGCGCTCTCAAGACAGAACTCAAGCGAAAGAATGAAAGAAGAGAAAACATTTTAAGAGATATCATTTGTTACAATGAAAATTAAGCACAGTCGACAATTTCTTAATTCCTTTTCATTCTTGGATGGATCATTGTTGGTTCATTGCTTTACCATACTAACTTCTGCTCCTAATGTTTCTTGGACTCTCATTTTTTTTTTGGTTTTTTATTCGGTGGTAAACAGAAGAGATAAACACACGACATTCAAAAAAAATAAAAATTATCCACATGCATAATATTGTGTGCTGTATATTGACTATATGGAATGGAATGAGATATAAAAAAAATATAATAAATTACTTAATGTCGTCGTTTACTTTTAATTCATTACTGAATGAATAAAATTTGAGGCTTTCGAAATGTAAATTCTTCATGACTCTTTTTTTTCTGTGTCTCTTTGCTTTATTCCTTCCATTTGTTTCATACACTCGGTAAACTATGAGTAAGTAAATGAATAGTAGGTGATGGGAATTTGTTGAAATCATACAAAAATCGGTACGTACGCTCGCGGTGATGATTCATGATCCAATATATTGCGGATGATAGAAAGTAATTTCAAAGATATATTCCGTACGGCAATAAAGAATATATATTTTAAAGATAGATTATGAATGGGTGTGGATGTCGTAATTTCTAATATACAAGTTTTCTCTGATTAGAGTAAGAATTTTTCATTGATTTTTATAGGAACGGATTTATTACGTGTTTCATGTACGATGATGATGGAAGTGAATATCTATCTATGTACGCCTTACAGTTTATGAATAGATATGAAGGAAAAGAATTTAATTAATTTAGAGAACAAATTTGTTGCTTCGCTAAGTTGATGTTGCGATATGATCGGAAATAGTTCGCATTTTGATATTGTAAATTATTCATGGGTAATTCTTGTACTGTTTTTGAATGCTTAATGAATTTAATTAGGAATTTTGGAGGTTCTAATTTAATCATATTTGCAGATTTTGAAGAATTTATTCGATATTTTAATCTTTTCTGGAGTTAACTTTATGTAATCTACAATATGGATTACTTTTAAGATATCTACAGCTTTTACTATAACAGAATCAAGGAGATTTTTGAAGAATTTAAAATGTAAACAAATCAAAAATTTTGAAACAAAAGGTTTCCCGCCAAATTTTAAAACTCAATATTTTGCACTGATTTCTATCAAAATACCTTGATATACTTAACAACTGTCCCATAACAATCCTAATTAATCAAAATATTATGTCACTTTGACAGATTTCATGTCTCAAATGTATAAAAATATAAAAATTCTCATAGCATTTGAAAAAAAATGTTCAACTTCCTAATTCTTTTTATTCCACACATATTTTACACATTCACATAATAAACGATTTTTGAGCTCACATTACTCAACTGTCGCAGTATTTCACAGCAATAAGCAAATAGTGAGTAAATTTAATTCAACTGAAATATAAATTGAACTTAAGGCACGGTCACCTAATGTCACCATATATTGCAAATAATTCGTGACAATAGCTCTAATTCGCTAGCATGTATGGATGTATAGAACAATATTGAGGAATATGAAGAATAGAAATAAAATTTTACTTACTCGAATAAAAAAATTCTGAATCCTTTCTGATCTTTTTCTTCTTCTTGCTGCTGTTAACTAATTTACGAGTTTTTATTCTTATCTAATTATTTTCTCCTTCTTTTCTTGCTCTCTCATTCACAACGCGTTGATAAAAAACACAAATTTTTTTAAAAAAAAACTTAAAAAATCTCTTTTGTTATACAAAATTGGACTGCATCGATTCTACACATTGCATAAATTCCATTTGTTCTGATGAGTGAGAGAGATAGACAGAGAATCGTATATAGGGGAGATTTTGAGAGACTTTATCACTTAATTTCGGCTTCTGGATTTTAATATATTTGTCATTGCACAAAATATTATTTTCTTTCTTCTTTTTTTTGCAATTCTATAAAAATATCTCCTTTTCGAATGTTATTCTTATTATCATAAATATTGGTGTTGTTGTTGTTGCCTTTTCTCACATGTGGGTGATGATGATGACGACAATGACTGCAGATAGAAAAAGAAAGTGCAAAAGTGAGATGATGTGAAAATATATAATAAAAATGTTCGAGTTTCGGCAATCATTTGTGTGTGCATGCTCTCATATATGTGACACATATGGACAATAATGCTGAATTCTTGAATATACGGCAGAATCAAGTCAGGAAATGAATATAAATTGATGACTTGAGTGCCTTTTTTTGGCGATAATGATTGTAAAAATGCTTCAAGTCATCAACAGTTATTTCAAATTTAAATAATTAAAGCATTTTAATCACAACGTTTTTATGCTCACTTTGAAAAGTTTTTTGCTTATTTTTTAATAATTAAGCAATATTATAATGTTCTTTAAAATTGAAAAATTAAATGGCAAAAGTTAAATAAAACACATCAAAGCCTACCACGTTTGTTAAACATCAAATTATGCAACAAATGTTCAATCTAATCTAAAATTTGATTCTCTTATTTCCGATCGAATTATAAAACAAACGATAAACAGTTTAACAATTCTCCAGATTCCATCAAAATGATTAAAAAATCGCATGTGCAATTCTAAAACTTGCGTCAAAAACTTTTTATAGGAAACAAAAATTGCTTTTAATCGACATCAATTGACAGTCTTTTTTTTTTATTTTCATACTTTGACTATCTCGCAATGATTTAATATCATTTCAAGTGAAGTTCTTCTTCGTGTAAAGTAAACTTTAGTGAATTATTTTGCCCTCTTTATGTTAGTCACAAAAACGAAATTGAATGTCGCCGTACAATACACTACAATACAATGAAAGACAATTGAACTTTATGTACGATTCAATATACATATAGCCTAAAACTATAAACAACGAATTCGCCGAAAATACCATTCTAACGTTCGACGTAATTAATTTTAATTAATTTTCAATTAGAAACATGATTAAAATAATAAAAAAAAAGAGAGAAGAAGCTCGAGAATTTCCAACATACGATAAATAATATACAAACACGATAGAAGAGAAGCCCGAGCGATTGCCAATAATCATAAGAATTAAAACTCTTGAATTTAATGTAAAGATATGATCAGGGGGAGGCCAGTTAAGTATGCTGTGTATAAATAATATATAAAAGTTCGAATGATATGTAAAATATGTCACTTGATGTGTAAACAATGTTAAGTGATATGTAAAAGTTCTAAGTTGATATGTAAAAGTTCTAAGGTAATATGTAAAATTTCTAAGGTAATATGTAAAAGTTCTAAGTTGAAATGTAAAATTTCTAAGGTAATATGTAAAAGTTCTAAGTTGATATGTAAAAGTTTCAAGTTGATATGTAAAATTTTTATTTGATGCGTAAAATCAAAGAAAAATCAGTTGAACCTTAATAATTGTCACAAAGCAACTCATCCCCCTTATTGTGACGATTTATAATATTCATAAGCTAGTTATTGAGTAGTTGTGAGCGGTACAGAGAGCGAGACGAAAATTATTCGGGTGGTATGAAAACTAGTGAATGCCAAACATTACCATGGCATGAGCTTCTCACTCATTCAAATAAATAATTTTCTATAACTATAGAAAGAGTACACAATTTTCCATTTGCAGAAAATTTAATGTATACGGAATATTATTTCGCTTTATGTTCAATTGTAGCAAAAAGCGTTCTAGCATTTTATTGATTAAATAATTAAATTTTAGTACGTTAAATTAAACCGATTAATTTTTTCCCTTCCATAGCCTTTTTTTGCTCCTTCTCACTCACACCTCGCACTCTGTCTCTGTCTCTATTATAATAGAATGAAAATGAAAAAAAAAATATAAAAGTTTAGTTCTATTTTCGTAATTTCATTTCAGTTTTATGTTTTAAATGTACAAGTACATTCACTGTAAATGGGAAAAAATTGTTTTCTATATAGTTGGACTAAAAACTGAGTATTGGGACATATAACAGCATTGAGCGAGACATAGAGAAGAGGAAATATAATAACAATTAAATGAGGACATTTGAGAGAGATTCTTTTGAGTTTTATGTACAAAAAAATTAATTAATTTATATGTATTTTGATTTGATTTGTAGCTGAAATATGTTTTGAAATTAAAACAGTTTATTTGGTTTTTCGTGGGAAGAGATTAGATGAAAGGTTTTCAAATTGACTTTTTGATTAGATTTTAAGCAATGAGGTGTTTTAAGTGGCTTATGTTTGGAAGTAAACGATCCCTTCGTGAATTATAATTATCTTGGATGATTCTATTCTAATTAACAGGATATATTGAATCATTTCCTTTAGAATCAATCAAAAACTATAAAATGGCTTAATCCTCTACCTTCTCATCCATTCCTAAATAAACTAAAACGACAAATAAACAAATCTTTAATGCACCTGTGAGTCCGATCAATTTACGGACAACAAATGTCAAACTATAGCCGATTATGACTTCATAGTATCCAAAATATGCGCAATTACTCAAAAGTATGATCGCAGACAAACGAAAACAACAAAAAAAGTGTCGAATAAACCCAAAAAATCTTACAAACAATCAAATAAATTTATCTCATTACTTAATGAATTAATTCCCAAGTCAGTTCCAAATTCCCAACAGAAAATACACATTTGATTGATTTCTTTTAAGATCGTAAGGTCGATACATGTGGTAAAGTAGTTAATGTTGTAATTTAAAATATAAATTTTTTTAATTCAATTAATTCATTCGATTGGCATTAATGAGACTTAAAACAATAAAATATTCATGGTTTTTGATGATATTTTTACGGCTTTCATAGACAATATTGCGTGCAGATATGGTGGACGAAAATTGGTCAATTGATAAAGTTCAATTGTGCATTTTCTTTAATCGTTGTTGCATTTGAGCCATAAAGTGCAATTCAATTATTAAGTTACGAGCTAGAGCATAATTTATAACTTATGGATGGAAAACGTGACAATAAGAAGGTTGAATCACTCACAATGTCAGGTTTTCTTCAATGTTTGCGGAATTATGAATGGAATATAATTAGATAGGATTGTGATGTCGTTGATTGTTTTCATTAATTAAAGTGGGCTGACTTCTTGTGGGTGGGAAATGAAAGTTAAGGATGTCTAGGATTAGATAAATGATTTTGATTAAATAGTTGTAATTGATTTTTGTATGATCAAGTGTAAGTTGAAGAACAAGTTATTAAGAATCTTATGTCTAGTTAGAATAAGATGCCAAATCTTATAAGAATCAGTGTAAACAGAATCTGATTGGATTTCAGATACAATAAAGTTCTTTTTGCATAATATAATTAAATTTTAGAACTTCATTGCAAAGATTCAGTTTATATGTCTGATATGAGTTTTATCATCAAGAATTAAGTCCTGTATTGAGTTTTTAAAATGATTGGGCCCTAGCTTGTTCAAAAATTCTCTTGTTGAAGAATCTGTTAAAATCAACAATTAAATACCAACTTAGCAATTCCTAAATTTTTTGCAACTCAACCTTGAAGAATTATCAAAACTCAATTCAATTATCACAATCAATATTCAATTCCAGTTTGTTCTAAAATAAGATTCATTAACACAATTTAAAATTATCAACCGGTGCTATAAAAATTTCTCAAATCTAATCCATAAATTTACATATGTAAAGGTTCCACAAGCCATCCAATGCTAGATTTCACGCGAAAATGAAAGACTTGATGGTCATCATATTATTAGAAAATGTTTCCAATAAATCAATGATTCCTCGCTGTTTTGCCGCAAATAAATTTATTTTTCTACAACCACAATGCTTTTAAATCTCTTTCTGACTCGATATTCAATGAATTAATGGCTTAATGTTCTTGAATTAATTTTTTTTTATCGTATAAATTTCTGCTTTGAAATTTTTTTAATTCAACTTTAAAATTCTTACAATTTTGATAATCGTGGAACTAGACTGGCTTACATTTAACATTTAAGTAAGTGATCTCATGTATATTCAAGGATTCTTTGAATGAATTCATAGTTCATGAGCTCAGAAATGTCGGAAGACAATGAATCAAGATAAAAATGGTGTGAAATCATGGATTGTAAGGTTGACAAATTGACAGTGAATTTTGAATTTTGCTGTACAAATAGAAATTCTAATTCTCAAAGCTAATCCAAGGATTATAAAGATTAATCCAAAGTAAACAAACATAAATCACTGCAAAAATCTCAAAACATTCAAAATCTTCAATTTTCAATCCCATTTAGCTACAACATTCCCTAATTCTTCAATTTCTTTCTTCCATTGTCCTTCTTTTCATGCTTTTTTAACTTTTGATCCTTAAGAACCCGAGCGGCACAAGGTGGAGGGTGGTCTCCATATGGAATCCATATGAAAGCCACCTCCACTATGTGGGAAGTAAATGGAGGGTTATTTTTTCATCCTTCATATTGATTCCGTTTGGATTCCATATGAACTCCGCTTTTTCTTAAATCAAATACCGAAAAACTCGTGCTTTTGAATTTTTAAAAGACAGAGGTCAGATCTTACTGTAATGGATTGAAATATTGTCGAAAAGCTTTACTGAATCATATTTCTTCATTTCAAGCTTTAAAAAAGCAAAAAAGGATAATTTTTTGTGATTTTGTATGAAATTACATACTTCACAAGCGCATGCAGAAATCACTATTATATGGGGTCGTTTAATTTGTATGAAAATTTTTAATAATTTCTTATGTTTCTCACACGTGTGATCGAGACTTAGAAATTGCTGTGGTTGCCACTTAATTAAATTAAGTTGTAAATTTTTCAATGGTGTTAGTGTACTTTAATTAAGTCCACTAATACAGCTACAAATCTTGATATAAAAATTGCGAAACATAGAAAAACACGTGGAAAATCGTACCAAAAATCCTTTGAAAAATACTTCCATTAAACCTCCGTTTGACTACCACAAATGGATCCTCCATCCTCCATCAAAACCTCTCAAATGACTTCCATTTGGTGTTAATAAATGCACGTCCCACGGAGGATTTTCGGAGCTTTGGCTCCGTCAAAGTTCCATGATAGTAAGGTTTTCGGAAGATTTTCAAATGGAGGGTGGAACATGGAGGCTCCGTATAGCTTCCATATGGAAGGCAAATGGAGCCTTTGTGCCGCTCGGGGAAGTCAAAAAAAAATCTTTACTTTTGTTGCCTTTTTTCTTCGTGCATTGAAGTTTAACTTCTTTTGTTTCGGACATGAAGTAAGTAATGGAATGTTCTTTTTATGACGCTCTAATTATTCGACACGTAGAGTTTTGAGTTCTTTTCAACTAATTTAATTAGTACTTCTGTTAATATATTTTAAAAATTCATGTAAATGACGGTGATCATACGATATAAAATAATTTCTGTTGTTGTGCTGTTTGTTGATCAGACTAGAGAACTCAAGGATAAATGATATAAAAAATGTGAAGCCTTGATGACTAAATTTACCATTTATGTAGATTCGTAATGATCTTCGCTTCGAAAGAATTTAATCACATTTCTGTGAATCACTGGGGAGAGAAAATTAATGAAATTGTGACACAGTGATCGTTAAAGGGGATTGAGCGTGGTTTTCTCGGATGGATTGGGAATTTTCCAAACATTCTTTATAAGAAATTGAATTTTGAGAAAAGTTTTGGCGCCAAAATCTTATTTTTTACAATTTTTGCGTTGAAATTTAATCGCATCCTATGAAACTGATGCAATCTAAAGACAATCATCCTTGAGTGAGGATCATGAAGAATCAAAGAGTCAATTTTCAACTTCCGCATAATAAATCTGTCCAAAAAAAACGCGCTATGTGAAAAATTAATTTTCAAATAAGACGAAATAAATGAGATGATGGGGAAATCTCCTTTACAATATAAAAAGTGAGTGTTCTAATAATAAAAAAAAAACAATATTTTTTTGGGTACGCAAGCCAGCAAAACAGTCGCGTATGAAGGGAAGAAGAAAATAAAAAATTAAAAACAAAAAAATTAAATATTTTAATTGGAAAATGAAATCTCTTTTTTTGAAATGATGATTTTTTTCGTGTATTTTGGTTGTTACTGTTTGCCGCGTGATATTCACTTTGTAAAAATAAAATAAAAGCACCAACTGCTTCACATAATAAATAATCGTACACACATTTTTTTCATCTTATTTTTTTCCTTTTTACTTTTGAAGATAGAGAAATATATGTTATATGTAGATATCTATTTATTTCCTTCATGAAATTTATTTCATTCTCAAAAGCGAAACATTACTTATCATCATCCATTGAAAATTGAAAGCATGCTTGCGTCTTACATGAAGAGGCGATCTTCGCATTTGCTACACGCTTTTTCTTATTAATTATTGCGTAACGATTTATTTTTTGATTGGTGCATTTTTTGGCATCTTGAATGCGCGTTTTGATCACATTTTCCTGTTTTTGGGACTGATTTGTGGTTTAAATGGAAATTCAAATTTAAAACTATTTTTTTGTGTAAGTTTTTGAAATAAATTTTATGTGATTAGACTTAAAAGTATCAACAACAATATTTATAATTTCAACATGCTGACAAATGATCATTTTAAAATTAAATCGAAAAGTTTTAAAGTTTTTTAAACTTGTTCTTAAAATCTAGAATTGTTGAAATGCTCAATTTAAGATAAAAAAAAAATAAAATTTTAGATTTTTTTTAAAAAATGAAGATTTTAATTTCTGGAAATTTGAAATGTTTCATTAAAATTAATTGTAAATAAGTCTTTGATTTGAATGTTTGGTATTGGAATGAACTGATCTATTGACTGATCTTCAATAAAAGAAATCATACGAGAATTATTTTGAAATTATTTCGATTTTTTTAACAAAAATTTATAATCAAAGAAATTGTAAAAACTAGTTTTATTTTCGATTTTGCAAAATCTTTTAAAATTTTAAATTCAAAGAATATTTTAAAATTAGAAACCATTTTTTTTAAAACTTAAAATCTTATGAAGTTTAAACTATAGAAAAGTGAAAAAATTTACAATTTCTTAAATTTATTTTAAAACTTGAAATACTTTTAAAACTTAATTTTTTTGAATAAAAACTTATAAAAGTAAATTTTTTTCATTTCAAAAAATGAACTTAAATTAAAAATTCCAATCCACGATCAATTCCCAAAACAACAAAAAAATGCACTTCAATCATCGTTCAAAAAATACTCAATCAACTTCTTGACTCTACTTGATCTAAAAAAAAATAGAAATATAAATTTCAAATATTTTCCCTCATCTCAAAAATTATTAAACGAGGATGGATCATAAGTACTATAATGGAGATAATTCTGGAGCAAACAGCAGTAGATTAAAAATATATAGTAACTATTATTAACTTCATATGATTTTCATTTACTGAACATTCATAAACTGTAGAATAATTTATGATCATTTGAGTATAGCGCTGAGTATGTTTGTAAATATAAGTGAGTAGCGATGATGAAATAATTGAAAGGCGCCGTCCAAAAAAAAGAAATAATTCAAATTTTCTGTCACATGCACGCACAAAATTAAAGCCTTAATTAATAATGATTTTTTTTTTAAGAAATTGGCAATAATTACTTTTTAATAAATATTCACACTTGACACCACCACACAGCTTAATCTCCTTCAATGTTAATCGCCGCTGCACTAATCTAAATGTCACTTGTCGGCAATTCTTTTTTTTTTCCTCGAGAAATTTTTCTCCTTTCACAACTTTTTTTTTTATTTTTTCTGTTTGTCAACAAAAATATTTTTTTTCTCTCATGCAACTTGATTTTTTTTTATTATTTTTCAGACATATCCTCAGAGTGTCCTTACTATTTTATAACAACATCATCATCACAATAAATTTTTCCATAAAAATAATTTTTTTCATTCCTTTTAATTTTTTTATTTTATATTTTTTTCGGTGAAATTAAATTAATGAGACACACAAAAAAATATTTATATAGTGTATATAGTGCCCGGAGAGCGGAGCGCACAATATCCAAAATTCAATCCGTTCTGGCCGAAATCTAACAAAGTACTGAGAAAATAAGAAAGAAAAAAAATTATAATTGTTGTCTAAACACAGCAAAGTGCACACTGACTATGCGTGTATAAAATTTTTTTTTCCTTTTTCTTTCTTTTCGGTTAAGTATTTTTGCCTGATACATTTAATTGTTGTGTTTGTTAGTATGTTTTTATTTTTTTTTTCTCGTTTCCTTCTTTACAATTTCTCGTCTTTTTTTTGGTTTAAAAAAATTATATCTTTCATTTACTCGCTCACTCTCTTTTCTCTCAATAATTTTTATATTTTTTTTTTGCTTTATTTCATCATCATCATCATTGTCGTCGTCGTTGCTGCTGCTGCTGTTATTGAAGATATAAGACTTGAGACTCATCTTCTCCATTACTTCACATTTACTTTACTTTATAGTCAGTCTTATTTTTTTTTTTTTGATACTTAGACTTGATACTCTCGTGTCTTTATCGCTCTCTCCCTCTCTCACCATGCTCTTATGGACATCACACGAAAAATAATGAAATAAAATATCGAGTGAAGATGATATAAAAAAAATATTATTCGTATGTAAGAGAGATGAATTGCCTCGTATGTCGTTGTTTGTCGCTGTGTGTTGGGTGAGTTGTGCCCCCTCTGATATGTACTATGTGTGCATGACGTGTGTAGTGGTAAAAGTGTTTCTGCTGCTGTTATAGTTTTTCATGACGATTGAGGATGGTTTGAGGATGAATGGATTGCTGAATGATTTGCAAAAGTAGCCTTCGAATTTTATCGACTCTCAATTCTATTCTCTCTCTTTCTCTTGGTTTAATGTTGACTTATATGTAGAATAAATTCTCGGCATGTTCGCTCTCATATATTTTATAATTTATTCCTTACAGTTATAGAAAATAGTTATGTGTTGGAGATATATGATGAAACTTTGATAGTTTTCTATCGTCATAGATTTACTATTTTTTGCTGATGCTTGTTCTAATGCGTTGGTTTTTTGACATTTAAGATTTTTGTTTGAATATTTTTTTTTTTGGAATTAACAAGACGCTGATCAGGCAAATGAGATTAGTAATTATTAAAAGTTTCTTGGGAATTTTTCAGAATATATTTGATAACTTCTGTTCATAGCCTTGTCTAAGTGTTCTTTTTAAATAATTTAAGAGTTTAGGTATCGCCAAGATGACAAATCATTAGTTCGAATCCTTATTCATAAAGCTCTAATGTAAATTTTTAAGATTCAATCTATAGTAGGAATCGAACCCACATTCTTTTAAATTCATAAGCTTTAAGTTTTCGGCTAGATTCATGATTCTAATCTAATTCAACATAACCGCAAATTCAATCTTTCTATTATGTCTTTATTTCCCAGCAAGCTTCTCGAAGATAGTAATTCTTCTTGTGAAATCATTAAAGACTTAATATATTGAACAACAATCGAAGAAAATTACAGGAAATTCTCACAATAGTTTAGCCTTACTTCTCGCCTTCTCCCTCACAAGAAGCACCAACAAACATATCGTATATAAGACAAGCACATGCAGCGTGTATGAAATATTCTCACTAGAAAAGTGCTGTACATAGTTTTTTTTGCCGACAAATCAGGAGCACGAGAGATTCAAGAGAGTGAGTATGAGTAAGAAACTGAGAGGAAAACTAGAAAAAGGTTCTTTTTACGAGAGCCATAAAAAAATTGCACACACGCCGTTTTCCATTCCTACAACAAACTCGATATAAGCCTTATGCCACTATTCTCGTTATATGTGAAGGAGTAATGTGTTGTTGGTTATGGGGAGTTTTTGAGCATAGAAGAGCATAGAGAGGGTTGGAGCTCGTTAATGCTCTACATATTCGACGATTAGATATATAACAACAATTTTCCTAACATAAAACACACAAATCAATACTTGAATTTTGCACCAAAAAAAAAACACTGAAAATTATTTTCTCCAGCTCTTCTCCCCTATAAATTTCTGTACATCTACATGTGAACTAAATATTTGTGCTGTACTGCGAGCAGATTTAAGTTTTATACATATGATGATGAATTTTTAGCAAAGTTTTTTTTTGCGAATAAATAAACACGTTTTTTGGTTGATTGATTGAAGCGCGAATATTTTTGATAACTATGTTTTTCCAGGACTGTAAGTTGATGGATATGACTCTTGCCATCGTGTAGATAATAGTTTTGTTCTAATTTTTATGAATATTGAGCGTTTTGTGCATTTAAAGTTGAAAAAAAAAAACGAAGTGAGAAAAATTTGAGACACGTGGAATTCGAATTTTTAAAAGTCATTGAAATTGCGAATATTTCTGATTTTTGAGAATTTTGACTTCCTGTCTATATATCAATTCAATGATTTATTGGATTCAATGACTAACGACGTGGGTAAACATTCATTACTTGAAACTAGAATAACCTCAAAAATGCGCATTAATTCTGAAGTCTTTACACAACTTTCAAACTATTAATTTTTCTATGCGAATTTCGTTAGTCGTCTGATTTAGATATTAGAAATTAATATTCTCACATGCTGCTGCTGATGCCGCCACAACTAAGCACACATATACACACAACAACAAAACACATGCACCCGAAAATATGAAAATTAGACTTATGAGTGTACATGAGTGAACATATATGAAATAATAATATAATAGTTGAAGCCATTCGATTCATACATATATTTAAATATAAATCAATTATTATATTACTGTTGTTCATAACCAATCAAAATATTATCATGTAATATTGCAGAAAGAGAGTGAATGGGAATGAGAAAGAACAAAAAAAACTATTTGTGATGAATATTAATTCCAAAAAATATATGTTTTTTTCCTTCATTTCTGTGGACGCGTACATAGGCGACAACTAGCATACGAAATCAGAATTGAAATGGAATAAAAGTACTTTTTTGTTGTTGGATTTTTATTGGATGATATTGTAAAATAATTCATTGTGTCGATGAGCAGAAGACAACAGCAGAAAAAAGGGGAAAAAAATGAAGGAAGAAGAAGGAAGAAAAGGAATTAAGAATTAAGCCTCTTAATTACTATCGATTTTTCATGCCGAATGATTGCTTTCGCGAATGGCAAAATAGAATTTCTTTCTTTATTATGTACGAATATCGAAAAACAGTCTATGATTCATGCATGCACTCCTTAATCTCCCCATACTCTTTCTTTTCGCCTTTTTTTTTCCTTCTTCCTCATCGTTATTGCAACATTTCTGCAATAAATCAAATTAACTTCTTCTTTTTCTTATATTTTGACTCGCTCTACTAGATATTCAACCACCTTTGCCACCACCACGTTGCGGTTCTTTTCTGATATAAACTCTAACATTCTATCTTTGCTAGTCAGTCATTGTGCGAGTGTAAATAGTCTGCAAATTGAGGTTCGAGGAATTGTTGTAAGGATTTAAAAATTTTAGATCTGGTTGTATGTGGTTTAAGGCGCACACTGAAATTTTTAAGGAACTCTGCATCAAAAATTATCGAAATCCGATTCAACTTCCAGCTTTGCTGTGCATAATAATAGAATAGAGGACATTCTACAAGCTTTATAGCATCCAATGACTCTCCTTAGTTGAACTTTCATGATTTTAATTCAAAAATAAAATCCGACTGTTTCTGAGGCAACCATTTATAACAAGGAGGTGATTTTAAACGAAATTTCCCGATATTCACCTCAACGAATCACTCAATAATTTTCAATTTGAGTAAAAAACGCAACAACTCTTTTAAAAAAATCAAGAAAGGAAAAGAATCGTTAATTTATCATGGAATAACTCACGACTTAGTACGGCGAAGCACTTTGCACTTTTCAATGTATGATGTACACAAATTCGTTTTATGTATGCACTCAAAAACCTCAAGCTCATGATAATCATAATCTACATTCCGTTCCGATAATTGCTTTATTGCGTTCCTTTATTGCGCTTTCTAATAAATTTTTATATATAAAAGCGGGGAGAACTTTTTTTTTAGAACTTTTCTTCCGTTTTCATTTTCTCATTTCAGCATACATCAAACTCACTTATATTATATTATATGCCTTTCTCCACTATTCAGTCAAATAGGCAGGTATGAATAACAGAGAAACTACATAAATTTTAATCGTATTTTCTGCACATTATACGATGGTGCCTTTATGCTACACAAGTAGCTTGTATTTTTTATATTTTGATATGAGAAAGGGAAACAAACTAAAAAATGAAAATTATTCACCCCCAAACGACTAACGGGCTTTTCACGGTTTCAGTATCAAACTTCAAATAGAAGAAGGAAGAGTTTTTTCATGTATTCTATGCTGTCGAGATTTGTTTTGTTAGTTGCCGATTCCATTCCAAGCCGAAACAATCGAAAATCGGCAGTACTGTGTGTGGGTGACAAATAATATAATAATAATAATATAATGCTCGTTTTCATGTCTTTGTGAATGAGAGAAGTTCTAGTGCTTGTGCAAAAAAAAAGAAACGAGGAAAGCAAAAAACAAGAAAAACAAAAAAAAATAATAAAATAGTTTCTCTTGATGAACGACAAACGGTCATACAACATATGTGTCCGAATGTAGTGAGCGGAAAGAAATTCTTATTTTTTGTTTCAGTGAAATATTAAAATTGTTTATGGCATTTTTGCCTGTTAGAGAAGGAATTATTTGCTTCATATTCATGTGGTTCTCACATATTTAACATACAAAGACGAAATATTTCGAAAGCTCGAACCTGTTGAGGCAGCGAATTGACGTGAAAGCGCCGCAAAAGAATTTTCATATTCAATTTTTCCATGGTAAATTTCAAAATATATTTCATATGATAGCTTTTTGTAGACAATGTTGAGTATTTCACGCTTTTCTTGATATTGAATGAATTTTTTAACAAATAACGGATTTTTGAAATTTAAATGTACAACCTACTTCAATTATTTTTGGGATTTTTCTCACTTCGAAAAGTTATTCTCAAATTTTTGCAATCAGGCAGCTTAATCTGTCTCGAGAATCAACTTATTTTGGTGTAAAAAGTAGCAGAAAACAGTTGACTAAGTCTAAAGCAATAGTAATGAAGAAATTTAGAGATAATCAAAAATTTAGACAAAATCAAAGGGAAATATACTATGATTCAAAAGTAAACAAAAGATTATAAATCAAATACTATTTAGATTCTCAAATTTTACCCAAAAGAACATGAACAGCAAAGTTGTCATTCCCCTTCCCGCCAATATCTACATTTATCCATCAAAACTATTCATTCCACTTAAAAATTCATTTTCTATCAAATCCATAATTAAACATATTGTTTCATAACAAACTGATACACATTTCTTCGTCTACAAAATGGCACAAATCAAATAAGCGAAAATTTAAACTTCCTATGACGCTTTGTTTCCGTTATAATAATCTTCCAAATGTGCGCTAAAAAAGCTCATCGTAATTATAGATAAATCGATATTATTTGCCCGTCTATCCATCAATTTGAGTGTATAAAAAGCAGAAATAAAATCTAGCATAACATTTGTCATGAAGAAACAAAAAAAAAATATACAAAACGAACAAAAATTTACATTTTTAATTTCATTAAACTGACACATGAAGCACTCCGAAACGGAACACAAATTTAAAATTCTAATTTCTCTCCAATACATACTCAATAATTATATATTTTATACATTAAGAACCAGTCGAAAACTATCAAATGAAGCATTCTCTCGTACACATTTTTTTTTTGTTTTTGTTTGTTGAATATTCATTCTCAATAAGTACGATACAGCAACTTATATTATTTGCCGAAGAGTAAAGTTTCATTTAGATACATTTATGCATGGCACGAAGATGATAAGATTCTCGCAGGCACATGATTTTCATTTCATTCGTGTCCCTCTGCTGCGAGATTGCAGAGAATAATTTTTCATGATCGTGTCGAGTCGTTCTCGTTCTCTCTCTCGGCATGTTAAAACTATAGAAACACACAAAAAAAAATCTTCTTGTTCTTCTTATTTTGTTGTTTTAATTTATATGTTACACATTGCATCCAATACTAGCACAAAAATATCACTTAATTTTGATTAGTACTTCAAAAATAATTTTTTTTTTTGGAAATAAAATGTTTTTTTTTTCTGTTCTACATGTGAGTAGGACATAAATATTATAAAATATATATTTTTAGTATCAAAATTATTTTTTTCTCTCCTCAACATGTATGAGTGTTGTGTTGCTAGGGTTGATTGATTTCATCTGTAACGTGTACAGCAACGAGGTGTGCTCAATGAATTCATAAAATGTATTAATTTCAATATTTCTGCTTTGTCTGAAATTTTCATTTTTATGGTCACTTCTTTTGTGAAGCAATTATTGATTATTTCTAGATGCCTTTAGTTTATCTTGAGTTCTTATACTGTTCAATTCCTTAATTTATTGACAACACTTTCTGTAATAATTCAAAGATTTGACTTTGATGGGATTCAAACCTTAGTTCTTGGCTGATACCTAT